AGCGATTCCAAATTTTCATCTAAATACTGTGAGCTTAAATGTCTCCATTTGCCTTTACAGCAAATACATCCCTACCTAAGCTAGATATGCAGAAGCCTGATCTCCTGATTTTAAGTGTGCAAATGCAGGACTTTTGTGCACACAACATTGGCACGTGTAAACCCAATGGTCAAGTAGAAGCTGCTGAAGAAATCTTAAGCAGAGCAACTGCACTATGTATTTAAAAGGCCAGATAGGATGGGTATTTGAAAGTCACCGATTAGGTCACTTTCATGACAGTGGTGCAGGCATGTATGGATGATATTCAGCATCTTGATCCAAAACTGGGCTCTGGAGCAAACTAGAGGTTACAAAAACTAACCCAAGTACTTCCTCCCTAAAAGTGACCTCCATGCTGCAACTTGGAAATGGGGGAGTTGCAGCAGGGCAGTTCCCATCTTCCACTAATGCTCACACACAGGAGAGATTCTGCCTGTCCTAACCCTTCAATTTGAAGCATGGATCCTAGACAGGACACCCCACCTTCAACTTGTGGTTGCAAGAAGCAACCACAGTAAAAGGCAAAGCCCCAAGCCCCGGGGTGCAGCCCCAGAGCCAGCAGACATGTTCCAGCCTGCCGTAGCTACCGACCACTGGACTGTCCCACCTCCAGAGAAGGCCTGACATGGACAATGCTCTAAAGCCTAGACCCCGAGTAACCTGGAGCTCCAGACAGCCCGACTGCCTCCACAAAGCCCACCTGCACATACCAAGCCCTGGGCAGGCCTCTGACACTACCTCAGGGGCTCGACTTGGTCCCAGCTGCCACTTGAAGCGCTGGCTCTGTAACATCCCATAGTCCCTTTTTGCAAAATGGAAGGGAGCGAATATCACTAATCTCACTGCTGGCCAAATTCCAGCTTTGAGTAATTACATTCTTCTGACAAATTTTCCTTGGCAGTTTCAATAGAATATAATTAGTAAATGTAAATAGACGTAAATAGTGCTGTAAATTACGCTTTGCATAATTTGTCAGAAACAGAGAAGGAGAGTGAGGGTGAAGGGGCAAAAAGAGCAGAGCTTCGTTCTCCAATATGGACGATGTTGTCGCCTTCTCTGTCACCAGACTGTGTCTGTCCCTGCCAGGACGGTGTGTTCAGGGTGACTGCAGCGGCAGATGCCACGATCCAGGATCATCATGTGTTTCATCACACAGATCATCCACTTCACCTCAAGTACAATTTTGACCTGACAGTGTCCGGTCGTGCCCCACAGCTGTGTTTGCAAGCAGCTGCTGTGTTCCACCTCAGCTGTGCTTCTGCTTCAGCAACACACACAACTGCAAAATGTGTGTATATGATATTATTGTTTTCTATGAAATGCTTATCAAATTTGTGAATGGTTTGTGAAACCTTCTGCTACCAACTGAAGGAGTGTCATATAAATGGAATTATATAATTACCCTTCACAGCTATTTTAATGCAGCTCCATGTACTAGTTTAACCTAAAGTGGAAATAGCTTCTTCCAAAAATAAAGTAAACGCATATATTTAACTTCATGTAGTCAAGTAGATTTAAACTCAACTATTTAAAGTAATGAAAATAGATTATAATGTATACCTTTCATATATGACCTACACATTAGTACTTTTTATGTGTCAAATGTCTTGTAGGTATGTCATCTCCTTCAAATACAAATTGCTATGGCTAGTGGGCTTAATCAGATACTTTTTCATACAGAAAATTCGAGGATGATTTTTCAATAATTCACTTATTTTTATTCAAAATTTGCATATAGAAAATAGCTAGCAGAAAGTAGTAAAATGAAGGGAAAGTTTATTTTCTTAACAAAAGCTTGTTGCAATATTTAGCTATAACAGGAGAAACAGATGTTTCAGCTTTACAATACCATGTCTTGCAAAACTTCCCTCTAAACGACTATTCGTGCTCTACATGTTTTGGACTGTGTATGGAGAGCTCTGCTAACAGTCATGGGAAGCATTGCATACATTAGTAAAGCCCACATTAAGATAATTAGCGCTAAAAAAAAAAAATCAACAAGCCTTTTTTTTCCCTTTATAGTATTGATTTAGTGTGGGTGAGAAATGCCAGATTTTCAGTCTTGAAGATTCATGTTCCACCACAGAGCTAGAGATGGAGCCAGCTTTTTCCAATGTTCTGCCAATAAACTCTTAGATTAACCATTTCAAGGGCTAAGAAGAAGAGCCAGGCTCAATGGTCTATCAACCCTTAGTCTCTCTGATGAACCTATGAACATGGAGAACGGGGAGAACACTACCTGGGATAAGGAAATCAAATTGTAAATCTTTGTGGCTGTACCTACCCGAGTATTTTCTCGTTAAAAATTTTCAAAATTGCTGTGGACAACAGAAATGACAAGTCGTACTGGGGCTGTGCTGCTGCAGAGAGGACTCTGGGCAGTGGTAGCAGCTACGGGAACATTTCTACAGTGGAAGAGGCCTTTGAAGCTCATCTTTTATCTTCTAAATGGCAAACTCCGTTTTAATACAGACTGTTTTCATAAGGGCTCTGTAACCTTTTGCAAATCCTATGAGGGCTGTACACAACATTTAACTCTTTGTCTAGCAGTGACTTTACCTTCTGCAGAGCCAAACAATGTCAATATGGATAAATGCACATAACCAGATGTGACTGGATTATGGAAGCTTAAAAAATTACTGCCTGGTCCCTCAAGATGCTGAAGTCGGGGCATTTTATAGCAACTTTTGTTTAGCACAAAATGGCATGATAAGAGTATGCACGTGAACAGCTCTGAATACTCTGTGTATAGGTGGCTACTTGTTAAGCTGCCTTACAGCTTGAGTTTATTCCCCTGGGGAAGGATCCACTGCAGAAGAGAAAAACACATCCTACTAGAACGTTTAGCACTTATTTAAGTGATAGAGCTACCCAGGTTAGTTGAGGATGACATTATTTTGCTTAGTGTTTGGAAGGGTTGCTTTAAAACCACTTGCTTTCAGGCAAAGTGATAATCAGTCTGAGCACTGTAAGACTTTTATAATGGAAGGCCAACACATCTTTTTTCATTCAGGCTGCAAGAGTAAGCCGAGCACAGCTGTTTTACTGAAAACAACCCACTGGTATTTAAGTAGATTAACAAAATTAACTGTGAAAATTCTTTGCTATGTGAAAGCCAATAACCTGTTGGCCACAAGGAGGCAGGGCAAGGATTCAGTAAACTCGAAGAAATTGCTTTTATTTAAAAAAAAAAAAAAAAAAAAAAGTTCAGTCATGAAACTCTGAACTGCTAGGCAAGATAAAAAGCACTTTTTAGCCACAGTGTGTGGTTTCAGTATTGGTGTTTTATTCCAAGAGCAGCAAATATCTTAAGATATCAAACAATAGCTGATCTGGCAGCAATTTTCTGCTTCTTTTGAAGAAGCGGATCACACATGTTTCTTCTTCATCACTTCTGTGTGGAGAAAAACTCTAACACTCAGCTTTCATAGCAATAGTGGATTTACCAACTCAGAGCAAGAAGCCGTACTGCCAGGTTCCCAAGCTGCTGCTCCCAAGCTAATAAATCCTGCTTCTGGGCAGCTTTGGGACCTCTGCCTTTTACCCCCCTGGCACTTCTAATTCTGTGCTAAAAGCAGGCAGAGGTGGCATGGTGTCTGTAGTCCCCTGACAAGAACCTTATGCCCAGTACAGTGCAGTGACGACTCCCTTAACCAGAACTTTAGGACATTTGAAAATCAGCACTAACTTCAGGTCAAACTTCTAAATGACAATGCAGCAAAACAGGAAAATAAAGCCAAAGCATCTCCATTTCAGAGTTAAATTGAAAAGGATTAAATTTAACAGTGAAACAAAGCCTTCCACAGGATCAGCACATCACAGCCCAAATCTATGAGTGATCTTCTGGTTTAGATGAAGTGACTTTACTCCTAGCTCTGTCACTGCATGCTACTGAGCTAGGAAATTTCAGTCCCCTATGCCTCTGTTTCCTCATCTCTTAAGCAGTTGCTTTCCTTCTCTGTGAAGCAGTATGAGGTCCAGGGATAAAAAACATGCTACAAGAACTAGTTATTATTAATGCAATTCAGATATGGAATGCACCAGATGGTAAAATCTCCAGGATTTTAATGAACTATTGTAACAGAACATATGTAATATGACGTTATTATAACAGGCATTTAAATGTATAGTTAGTACATACAACGTGACCTGCTCTGCTCTCAGTAACTCCACTGGAATTATTTTGGATTTATGTCAGATAATACTAGGAACACAAAATAGCCCCATATGTGCAATGTGGTAAGGTTTTCATAGCAATGCTATCTTAACTATTGCCTGTCCTGTTTTTATTTTTTTGCTGGAGGTACTGTATTTAGTGCTCTGTTCGAGTATGCTTTCTGCATTTAATTCTGAGCAGGAAGTAAAAAAAAGTACCCTCATGTCAAAGACTAAAATGCATCTCACCAAGCCCTCCCTTACCTATCATCATAAAACAGTCATCATGAAGCAGCAAGAACTTTTTGGAGTTTTTTCCACTATATTCTGTAAGAATTATGTCTTTGATCAATGTATCGTAGACTTGGTAAGCAATATATATTTGTGTCAGAAAAGTCAAACATTCAATTTCAGACTGTGAGGGCAGTAGTATCTCCTTTCTCCCACAACCTCTTAGTTCTGGACAGGATGAATTATATGACTGGGCAAAGGTGAAAGAGCAGGACTGCTGCTCAAGCCACTGGCATCACACATTACAGTCAGAGACAGGTACTGACTTCAGTAAAGGAGGAGCATGAAGATACTATCAGTATGCATAATAATAATTCCAGCTCATCTACAATACAGATGATAAAACTCAAGTGAACTGACATTTAATATATGAGAGGCTGGAAGCAACATATCAATTTCACATCATAAATTAGCCTTTGTGCTAGTGCCCAAAGATTTGGCTGATTACTCACTACTTTCCCTTAGTGCTTAAGCAGACTTTTCCAAAGAAAGACAGTTAAACCACAAAAACGTACCGTAGTGTCCACAGCCCTGACCTTCCCAGCAGGAACGTGCTTTGGAATGGGTTCTTCTACTGATATCATCATGCAGCCTTCTGCTCCAAGAGTAACAATTACGAGCTTACACCCTCTTTCTAACAGCGTGCGCCCCACCTTTTCAGCATCTTCAAGGTTGCCAACTGGGATGCCCGTTAAAATTTCTGCCTGGAAAATAACCCACGCAAACAAAAAATCATAATCTGACAGCATTCATTTTTGGAGAACAGTATTTAATTTACATTTGAAAACAGTAGTTAATATCTTTTTCAAGTGTGTATTATAGGATGATCATGAAACCACTTCCTACGCTGATACTCAGCTATGTCTTGCCCCTCGTTTGAAATCAGCGTGTACTTGAGGCTCAGCAGACTAATGGAGAAGAGCCCAGGCAGAGACGCAGGAGGCACGGGTTCTGTTCCAGCTTCTACGCCTTGCCTGGCATGCAACCCTCAGGCAAATCACATTTCTCCCACGTGCCTTAGTTTCTTTATCTGTGAAGTGGACACAACCAGACAGCCTTGGCAAAAGCATTCTGTGGTCTAACGTGAAAAACCCTACATGGCAATTCGGTCACTATTGTTGGGGGATGTTTATTATTAAGTAAGAAACTTAAAATTCTTTTTTGAATTCTCAGTGTTCAGCTACAGAGAAATCACAAGGGAAAATCTTTTCAAGGAAAACAATTAGTTGCTCAGCTTTGACCACTCTGTTTACTTCAATATATATTTTTAGATAGTTATACCTAAAAGTTGTCTGAAACCCTCTTTGGGCAAAGGCCCATTACAAGAGTATTATACATTTGTGTTATGGCCATGTCCATAGGCCTCTGTCAAGACTGAGATTCTTCTGTGTTGCCTCTGTACAAACACAGATAAACTCTTCTTCTAACAGATGGTGACCTTAAGTCAACTTCTCCCAGTTGGCTCTTAAAATTAATCTCTTCTAGTTCCACCCAACTAAGAGCAAAATTTCCCAAAAATCTGCAATGAAGACTCCAAAATCAAGCATCCTTTTCGCCTCTTCATACATGTTTTTGATGGCATAGCATTGTCAAATGTCACGTACTTTTTCTTTTTCTTTTGGCAGGGAAGAGAGCAAGAATGAAACAGGAAGAAAGTGAAAAGAAAATACAGTGCATTTTATCTGAAACAGCCTAGCAGGCAGTATTCCTGCATAATAGTTTGCCTTTAATTGTAAGTAAACAGGCATATTATATTTTGCTGTCTTTACTGAATCTTGTACTCCTTGCCTGAGAAGGGGGAAGTCCTATTTTATCTTGCACTACAAGGCTGCTGCTGGATCCTGAAGAATGCAGTCTGAAGTATTTTCAGATAACCACCTAGTAACTGGGCATAGCTTCTTCCCTCTTTAGGGGTTGTTTTCAGTGGAAAACTTACTTTGGAACCTATTCACCAGCTACACTTTCTCACCTCTGCTGCATGGGCAGCTCAGCCTCTTGGGAAACAGCTGCTGAAATATTTCAAACTACCTTCCTCTGCATGACTCAAACTTGAGTCCAGCGCGCACACTTCTTGATCTAACGGACTGTAAACTATAGTGATTAAACAACTGCTCCGGGGAGCAGAGGCCATGCCTGTAGTAAAGAGAGGGAGGGCAGACAGCTGGGGACAGGAACTACTACAGCCATCCCAAAGCAAACCGCCCCCAGCCGTGAGTCAGCGCCCGCTGCTCCCCACTGTCATTTCCTGTGTTTCAGCCCGACCCGGGAGGGAGAAGCCACCCTTAGGCTCTGAAGGGCCAGATTATGCCAACGCACTCCCGAGAGATTAGAGTATCATTAGCAGAGTACTTACTGGTTTTAATTTTCAAACTTACAGGACCAAGCTCTGCAGTCCCTACTTAACACAAATGCACAAATGATTTTGAGTGTTGTTGATCTGGTCGCTATAAGGCAGAATCTGGTGTGGCAGCCCTCGGTGGGTAAACTTGGGCGCTGCAGGGGCAAGGTGTGGTTAACACATACATGCAAGTTTAAACTACTTTTTTTTAACCACACCGATCCCAGACAAGAATAAAGTAAGCTTTAAATTATGAGAAGGCAACTAAACTTATCCAATTTTCTCTTTGGCACGTCACCATGCTGCTGAAAACTTCTCTTGCAGTACAAACTATTTCAGCAAATTAAACCTATTTCAGTTTTTAAAAGGGTATAAAAGTATTTTCAAATAAGATATTTTTTTTCCAAAAAGTATCTCACAAAACTTTTTGAATGTATCTTCTTGGAAGGTGTCAATACACCAATAATGGCTTTGTAGAAACTAAGGATAGATAATAAATAGTATTAAAATATATATACACTCTCTTCTAATATTCAAGCATCTAAAGAGTCTGTGTCTCATCATGAATGTTAAGATCTCTGGAGCAGAAACTGTGCATTCCTGTGAGCAGAACACCCAGCACATCATGTTACAAGAATAAAAATGGATTAACACAAATCCTTGAGTGAAACTGGCTAACTGAATTTCCAATGTACTTCATGATGGGCAATAATTCCAAACATTGTACCTATGTTGCAAAGTCTCCAGGACAACAGTGGATTTGGTTTTGGTAGAGAAATGGCAAATCTAATTTGGGTTTATTTACCTGGTATTTGCAATTCTGTAAGCTCATGAGCAAGGTAAATGAAGTACTTAAATGTAATATTCTTCCTAATGAAAAGCACATGCTGTACGCTTAGCATTAATGTTGTACCCCTCTTTGCGATTGCTGTGTCCCAGGTCAACAGGATTATTTGCTTGGGTAGTGACAGAATTATTCTGGGACTGATATGTGAAAGGTTTTGCAGAAATCTTTCTTTTCATCTCTGTACTGCTTATACCAATAAACAAAACTATTTTGGACAGAGTTTGTATAAAAGTAGATCTTCAACTGCTTGAAACCACTATCGTCTAACTCATCTACAGCAGGATGGTAAAACTAAAAAACACTGGAACAAACTGGAAGAACCATAAAAGCAGCAGAAGCCAGACAGATTCTGTGCCAATAATTAGAGATTGCGGTAAATGTCAACTGATGTTAAATACTGTGGTGAGTTTTTAAGTTCCTCCCTTCAGTAGAATCTTATTTAAAAAACAAACTGTGGTACAATTGAAGGAAATAACTAATGGTTATGTAAAGAAAAAATTAAATAACAATACTAAAAGCCCAATGTGGACATTTGCCACAAAAGAGCAAAAGTACAAAAGAGCAGCAAATTAAGAATCTTATTTTTCTGCAGCTAGTCTCATAAAACTCCACAGTTAAATGGACCTATTAAAGCAAGAGGACATTCCATAAAACTGCTGTAAGAATAAACCTATGATGGATATTATATCATTAATCTACAGAATTTTCTTAATTTTGTTTACAAAAGTGGAAGAGAAATTTAACTGAAGCTTTTAATTTAACTGATATGAAGGTTTTTGGCCATAATCCTCACTAATCTTAGTTCACTCTCCATGTCTCTTTAGATTGTGGAGTCTAGTCACAGTGAGCTGACGCTAACCAATACTGCTAGAGAAAAAAATAATTGTCCTGGTTTTTTCCCCTTCCACTCCTGTCCACATGGCCAGGAAACAAATTGGATTGCAAAGCAGGTTTGTGTTAAAATTAACACCATCCCCAAAAGCCAGCAACTAACTTCTTTAGACGGTAGTACTAGTTTAAACTGCCTAAAAGTGAGAATGAAACTATGATACGAACGTTTGCCAAGTGTTCCGAGCTGTGGGGCATTTGGGGCAGCCTATGGCTTACACAGCCACTCTCAGGGACGTGTTCTGGATTGTCTGCTTGGCATTTGCAAGACCAAAACGCAGCAAATTTTGGGATCCCTGGCATGAGTTAAGACACTGACATACTACAACAAATGCAGTGGAAGGCCACCAAGACAGTCAGGGGGCCGGAGACCAGGACATACAAGAAGCAGCTGGGAGAAGCAGGTTTGTTCAGCCTTAAGAACACAAGTCTAAGGGGAGATCCGGTTGCTATCTACAACATTTTAATCCATGGGTATAGAGAAGATAGAGCCAGACTCTTCTTGAAGGTGCACAGGGATAAGGCTGGAGACAACAGGCACAAGCTGGAACATGGGAAATTCCAGTATTAGGACAAGCTTTTTCACCATGAGGGTGATGAAGCAGCAGAACAGGTGCCAGAGGTCGTGCAGTCTCCATCCTTGGAGATTCAAAACTTGACTGGACAGAGTCGCAACCAATCTGACCTAAACTGGCCGTGCTTTCCCAGGCTACTGGATTAGAGACCTCCAGAGGCCTGTTCCCAACTTCTATGATCCTCAGCAAATATAATCTGGTGAAATAACAGGAAGTGTTATTTCTTTGGGGTGCAGTCCATCATTTGGACTGCTTTTTGTGTGCCTAGCACAATAACAACCTTGCAAATGTTGGAAGAGAAATAATAAGTAATAATATGGAAACTGTGCCAATTTTAAGGCTAACCCATCTAAAACTACATATGATAATTTAAAATATTTTTAATTTTAAATATTTAAACACAGTAAGCCCGTTGGCTACAAACTTGGCTTGTACCTTCAGAGATTTCTTTGAGAATGACAGAACAAGAACTCAATCTCATTAATTCTAACACATGTGAACAGTCCCAAAGAAGTAGTGAGACAGATTTGGTGTATAAGCAATTGCAAGATCAGGCCACAAGCCAAGCTAGCTCCAGTTGTTTCAAATTATAAAATTTTTACATACATGCAGGCAGCAATACTTATCGTGCTAGAATAATTAAAAACTGATTGAAATGAATTGGCCTGAAGCTATTCCCTCCCCTCCCAAAAGTAACATCTTTCATTTTAGACTAAATATGGGAAATTTCATAGTTTCCAGCAACTGATAAAATGGGGTTTAGAACAAAGTTGGAAATAAAATATACTGTGAATTGCTGGCAACTTCTATGCAATGGAGCAATAGTAGCTTTCCATAACATAGAACTGAAAAGACAAATTCAAGAAATGTTCCAAAATATTTTAATTCTAAAGGGTCTATTTTTGTTTTGACTACTAGACATGTCAATTATTTTTTCTTAAGAGAGACTATCCCTTGCATAAATATCTCCATATTAATAAACAGTACCTTAAATGTCCTAATCCAAGACTCCAGATACAGTTTTATAAACCTGATATTCTCTGGATCTTGTAAAAGTAAATACTGTGTCTTGATTTTGGACATACTAACAAGAATTTCCATTATTAATATTTCTTCCAAAATGACCTTGCATCTAGTAATAGACAATAACACTTAAAAGTGAATAGTATCTTAACTAGGATAGTATCTATTTTTTTGTATTATTTTTGTACATTTTGCAGCTTTATTTAACAAAATTAGCAATTAATTTAAATTTAGTTGTACTGCTTTCTACCACTGAAGCCCCAAAGTATTCTGTTAGCACGTAATTAAATCTTTGCTAGGCCCTTCTTATTTAGATCAGAACTCTGATACCCATTTTACATTAGGGAGAAAGCAGTTCCCAGTTTTGCATTCAAAATTGCTTGACAAACTAAATCATTTGCTGTAATCATTTAGGAGTTTTCCTTCTCCTGAAGGGTTCCTCAGTATTCTTTGAACAGAGAAGCAGCTGTTCTTCAAAATGTTTAGGACCAAATAGAAATCGCTGATGTGCAATATATTTGGGTTCCTAACCTGCAGGGCTATGTAATTGCATGCACACACTAAATTAAGAAAAACAACACATGAACTGCATTGACATTGTGGTTGTGCCTAGAGCCATCCTGCAGCACGGAACCACGCAAATACATGGGAAAAAAATGGTAAGTATTCCAAAGAGCTCATCTTGTATAGGGTTGTTTCTTTTTCAACATTTATAGATGACTGAAAAAAACAACCCTTGGTTTTCACTAAGATGACATTAGATACATTTTTTTTCATTAGAAGAATTAAGGGAATGGAGAACTAGCACATTCCTGCACAAACCTCAGGGATTAGGCTGTGCTACATCTGGGAATTAACAAACTAGTCTCAACAAGTTTGATCTTTCTGGGAAAAGATAAAACTGAACTACAGGCCAAGCAAAGAAAGAACTGATAACCTTGCAAGATTTCTTGAGGTTTTTTTTTTTGTTCGTGAACCACATAAAAAGAAAGTAATGCCAGACATAAAAAAAATTATTATTGCAACAAGCAAGAGTGAAAAGAACAGCTTGTGAAGAGCCTTCTAGACAAACTAATGGTAGATAATTCACTGATAGTGTAATTTTGTTTGCTTTTCTCTAGCACATAAATCCATAAGAACAAGCTGTGCTGTTATACCAGATACAGCGTGTGATTTCACTAAATCCTAAAGCATTTAATGAAGGATGGGGTATAAAGTGTGATGTTGTATTTGATACTCACATGTTTGGACCCGACATTCCATGGCTGTCTGAAACTATAGCTGACATTTTTAAACTTTTATTCTGTGACAAAGGCATCACAAATTAAAACTGCTGACCTTCAGGGCAGTAAATAACAGAAACTTCTGACTCAGTAATAATTCAGCTAATCACAAAGACTACCCCCTTTTGCTCATCTTTAACAATATAAACACTCCACATAAGAGTGTGAGATGTCTTAAGCTACATGGCTGGCTTTCTGTTCTACAGCTAACATAATCTTCTGATACAAATACATCATTCACGAAGTATCCACAAACCACAGGTTTTATCTTTTTAAAGTATTTCTTGGTGAACAAAAAGATAAGGACATTTTGGTAAAATCATGTGATTTTACAAACACTTGTAAATTTAAATGGCTAAGAAAGCCAAACCAAGCAATAAAGAAAAATCACTGTAAATGTAATCTTGTCTTAGCATATACATCTGTGTTAAAAAGGATGTTTTAGAAGCAGTTCAACTGGATAGCAATAAAGAGTTCACCTTTAGACTCAAGACAATTTATTAACTATTTAAAATACTTAGTAAAGATAAGGCAGAAATACACTTTTTTTTTTCTGGTAGTATCTAAAAATCCCAACTTAAAAAAAAAAAAAAAAGATCCCCAAAGGGGTAAAGCTGAAACATAAATAGAATTTTGGCTAGAAGAAAGTTATTTGAGACTTAGAAATACAAAGTAGAGGAGCAATGGAGCTAGAATAGAACATCTCAGGACAGCAGTTGTAAGCCCCACATTCAATAAATTTGTCCATAGAGAACAATAAAAAATCCCCACCATAAAATAGGAATGGCCATAGGGGCTCAGAGCAAAGGTCCATCTTATCCAATTGCTCTTTTATGACTGTGACCGCTAATAGATACTGAGGGAAATAAAAAAATATGTCTAAAAAGATCTTTTCCCAGTATATATTCTGGATCATCAAAGTCTTGGGTACTTCCTGATTTAAGAAGATGAAGGAAATGCAGATGTAGTTGATTGAATGGACAAAGTTAAAAAAAATTAGAATTATCTTTAAGATTTGTAGAATTAACTTCTTGCTTTTAAGTGCCATACAGAGATGTGACTGGTAACCTTTATTTGGGTATGTAAACATTTATCTCTATATCAAACTTCTCAAGCGCATACATTACAGGGATCTGAAATTAAAGAAAGTCATGAAAGAAAACAGAAAACAGATGGCACATGAATATATAACAATTACTAAAAAAACAACTTTCAAACTTGTGACATAAGAAAAACAAATGCTTCATTTTTCCTCTTTTCTCAGCAAAAGAAAGGAACAATGGCAATAGTTCATCCCTGAAAATCAATTCAATAACAAATCAGACACATAGAGAGGATGAAATCAAACAGAATTGATTAATACAGTCGTGCTAATGTAATTGATTTCATTTTAAGTATGAAAAGGTTATTTTTAAAAGCAAAGGTATTTATGTGCCATTCTTGTTCTCAGAGTAAGCTGTAGGAGTCCCACACTTGGATCTGTGCTCCCGTGATATTGCTGGCAGGAACTTCCATAGGTCTACCATTTCCATAAATTGAGAAGAGATAAGCCTCCTCAACAGTAGAGAGCATATTTCTGTGCCTGACTGTACATACAGTGGTCCCAGCTACCTTCAGATGCTAATTACTTCTTTAAAGAAAATAGCAGAAAAGAATGAAAACTGTACCCTCAGCTCTGCTGGAAATGTAGATGAGTGAGCAGGGATCTATTATAATTATACACCTGTATTTCTTGTTCTCCAAATAGAAGTAATTTTCTTTTCTCCATGTGGTGGTAATAATAATATACCCTGGCTCCAGCAAGCTAAACTTCTCAAAGAATCTCTCTTTCAAGACTGTCCTCTAGCAATAAAGTATAACAAAGGGAAAACTTTAACATGTGTGTTGCAAAGAGCAATGAGAGAAAAGTCAGGAATAGACAAGTAATGAAAAACAAAGTTTTGTTTCTAACATATGGGGGATAAGTTTTCACAGGGAAAAAAAAAGTAACTAGTGACATTATGAAAAAAGCAAACAACAAATGACATTTACTAAATTGGTGGGAGAGTATGGGTGTTCTCAGCCCAAAATGTGTGCCGTTGCACCATGTAGCCAATCCAGGGGCACAGTCCAGGCATAAGTGCTTTCTGAAAGCATGAAGAAAACACCATATGGGTGTCCTGCAAGTCCCCTGAACAAGAACAATCCTTTGCCTTAGCATTCTCTTCATCAGATAGAATTGTATTCTGATGGCTGTTGGGCAGTGCCTGAGCCACAAATGCTGTCACTGACAGTTACACTGGAAACTTTGCGTTCCAGAGACCTGAGGAGCCGTGGCATCTCCTACCTTGCCATTTTGCTAATTCCTAAATGCTCTGGAGTATCTGAGCTTGGCAGGCACATACTGAAACATCCTAGGATAAAATTCAGATGTCCACTTGAGTTACTCAGGCCGACTCTTAAATGCTAGAACACTTGTGAACTGAGAACTTCCGATATGGTTTGTGATGTGTTTTAATAGAAATTTCAAAAGAGGGTAATAGAGTCTTGAAGAACGTACTCTGACAGACACTGTCATTAGACAAAAACTGCTTTAAGTAAGCAGGGCCATGCTTTTCTCTTAGCTCTTCCCCCTCCTCTCTACCCAAAGGTATCGCGTTCATTGCAGAAATCGTGTTGGTTGGAAATAACATGAACTATGATCAGGGTATGGCTTCTACCCACTATGTTGCTTCTCCCATATTCCTGTTTATATAAAGAGAGGGTGAGGGGAAGGAACACAGCATGCATAACATTAATAAATAGGAAATTTAAACTAAGGCCTTATGAAAAGAGCTTAATTTGTCTCTTGTGACAAAAATAATTTCCTTTGGGAGAAATAACACACTTGAATTAGAAAAGAGAGGGAAAGGAGCAAAAAAAAAAAAGGAAAACATACAGTTGAAGAGCCAGAGGAACAGCTTCGCTGAAAACAGATCTGACAGGAAGAGGCATATGAAGCTACTATTTACCATCAAGTGCAGCATGCGTGCATCACCTCCTGGCAATTGAGTTTCAAACTGTCAGAACACAATGGCTAGCCCATTCCTGCTGATCATATCAAGGCACCGCAGAACAAGGACAAAGATATATTTTCATATTTACCACTCAGTGATAACATTTTAAAAGTGTCCTTTTATGGATTTGTTTTATTCGTCTACTTGTAAAGAAGGCTGGACACAACTTTCCCACTGCAAACAATTAATTTAATTCTGAGTGCAACTTAAAGGTATTCTAGAATACTCCTCTTTGCTCGTTGGGTCAGAGATCAGACTTGGCACCTCCAGAAGTCCTATGTAAGAGGAGAATGCCTCAGTTTTCCTGGTCCCTACACCGCATTTCTGAGAACAGAATCTCTGAAACTTTACTGCCCGAGACTGCTTCTTTACATATGACCATTACCTCAGTTTCATTGCAGCAGAAGATGTCAGAGTAGGTATAAAATTGTGGATCTAGGTCAGCAAGGGCTGGAGCTGGATTAAATAAAGTCTTTACTGGAAAAAAAAAAAAAAAAAGGAGTTCTAAATCTCTGCTGTTTTAGATTCATAAGCCATCACCTGGAACACCATTGTGGTTCATTCACAGCCCCCAATGTTTATTATTAACACACAAATGGCTCTCAGTTGCTGTGTCCTCATTTTATGGAACTGCTAAAAATTTTGCTTACTATATTAAAGTTCCCTTCTAATTCATGTGCAGGCACCTGTCATGATGGGAACACGACAGAAGAGTAACAGAAAAAATAACAAAGAAATTATTAAATTTTTTAAAAAGGGAAAAAACCCTTGGACACTAATGCAATTTGTTGAACTGAAGATGCTTCTTCCAGGATTTTAATAAGTTTTACAAGAACTCATTTAGTTCTAGAATTTTTTCAGTGTTGTTATCTGCGTTTTGTACATGAAGAAACAGGGGCATTGGAGTAATGAAGGACATGTCCAGACAAGGAGTTAAACGTGCTTCTGAATGTGTTACCTAACTTGTTCAAACTGCCACATTACAAAACTGTAGCGTAGACAAGGCACTGTATATTTTTACTATGCTATCTGGCAGAGCTAGACCTAAACTTAACACGTGGTAGAGTATGTTAGTTAACCTAACTTTAAACTGTAGCCTAAGGCCCCATGGAACAGCAAAAAAGGTATGTCATGAGGACAGAACAAGTGACTTACTCACTGGTAACACAAGAAGTCTGCAGACTTGGTTTCTCACTTTGCCAATTTTATGATTAATACTTCTGTGTTTTAACCACAAGGCCATCATTTTTATATAAAGCACACTCTCTTATTTTAGAAATATTCCTTATAGTAAGTGGTCAACTTCCAACTTGGATGCCTACATTTTCAGTTCTAAAGGAGTATCTGGATCCTAAGCTATAATACAAAATATTCAGACACCCTGAATGCTTCTGAATCCCATTAATTCCCTAAAAGAGAAAGATGTACAGTGACTTCTGAAATCTGAGTACTGAGAAGTTTAGAAGATGACCTTTTAGATTAATATTCTGAAAGCTTTAGCCTTTGACTGTAGAACTTCACTATGCCTCTCTACCTGCCCCCTTAAAAAGAGTACTAAAGTCAGGAAGGCTTTTACTCAGAAGTCGGAAAATGCCAGGATTAGGATTTCCAATGAAATCTTAATTTGGCTCCCCTTATATTATTACAATATAGTATGTATTATAATAAACTCTTTAATTATATGATCACATACCACTGAAAAACAGCATGTGATCACATAATTAAAGACTGCAACATAATACATATGCAGAAAGGAGACAAATTAAGGTTTCACAGGCAAGCTTAACTATTGCATTTCCTATTTTCTGAATTGCAACCCTAATAAAGTTTGTTCTAAACACAAATCTTTAAAGTATACTTTCCTAGGTAAAAAAACCAAACAGCACATATTGGAAAAAGACCTCTGGCATGTATCATACTGGGTCAGAAGCAGCACTGGAAGTGTTCCAGCTTGTGTTTTAAGTAATACAGACTCATCATGAACAGGGTGTCACACATGACTATTAATTTACTCCTATATTTAATATCTGCTGAGCAGGGGGGAGATAGAGGAATCCTAAGATTCTCTTTCAGGCTCTTCTTCAAAGCATGGCTTGTGAACAGGGAAATCTGTTTGGTTCCCCTGAGGAACACCATGTTAATTTATGCCCAAATTCTTTCTCTCCCTTTGCCAAGATCCATTCTTCTCACGTAGTTTCCATTCTTTATGCCTCCTTGCATGGGCACTATGCAATAATAACCTTTTCACTCAACTTTCCTCACATTCTATCTCTTTACACTCCCTCTCCTCTGCTTTTCTTTTCCCACTTCCAGCACCTACAGTCTACTCCCTGACTCTACTCCCATATTCCAATCTCTATTCAATAAATCCTATTCTCTGTTCCAATTTTGCTCCGCTTTCAATTTCTCTCTTCCATCTTCCTCCGTCACCCCCAAATCCAGCAAATCCTTCCTACACTTCCCTTGTCTGAAATCTACGCTTCCCTCCCCACCATTCCCATACAGTTTTGTCTCTTCTGTATTTGAATCAAGTAAGCTTCTGCTCTGCACTCCCTGTGCCTACAAGAGATACGTATAAAAGAAGTTGCCAAAAACCAGATTCAGGAATTACACTAAAAGTCACGCTGCCCAAATCAACAACTGCCAACTGCTGTGGACAGACTGTCCATGGTCTGTGGACCACAGGGGAAGATTGCTGTGAAGCTCCAACAATTTCTCAAGTTTATGGGAAAGGTAGTTATTTTCCAAAGGCAGATTACAGTAAAAATCAGGCAGATTTCATACTGTTGTAAAGGCTTATCTTTGAAAGAAAGCTCCCTTGCTATCAAGACTTAATTTTAAGGTAGCCAGTATTCATACTTTAAAATGGGGCAGGGTGAGAGGCATTTTTCAGTTGCTTGGTTTCTGCAGCCACTATGTTTTGGAAGAAATTCTACAAAGAATTTAACCACAGACAAACAGCTGTTATGAAAAACTGGAGCCCAAGATCAGAAAGCTGAAACACCTGAAAAATAGATCCTTTACTTGCAAGTGACATACAACCTTGATAATTGAGGCTGCTTCCACCCCTGGTTTTAATACGTTTACATTCTTCACTGCAATATTAATAGGCTAGACATTATTAGTTGGCTTTTACAGAATCTGTCATTACAGAAGCCTGAAAACTGCTTTACAGACTTTGATATACAGTAACATTTTATCCACTGATGAAGTGGTCCGACTCTTGGAAGCAGCAGCAGCAGCTTCACAACATGTGGCCAGTAAAAACCTACAATTTTCCAGTCAGATTCCCACTAAAATTTATACCCACTTCATGTAATTATTCACAACCCTCTCCTTCCTTCCTTCCTTCCTTCCTTCCTTCCTTCCTTCCTTCCTTCCTTCCTTCCTTCCTTCCTTCCTTCCTCTCTTCCTCCCCCTCAAGATTGTTACAAGCTCTTTAATAATGAGTGACACAGTGAGAGGATGTAAGAACATGAGATGTTCCTCCCCAGCTTACAGATCCAGATGATGTTCACTGAACTGAAGCAAAGGGGTTTTGCCTGTGTGTCCACATTCTTTCTCCATCTTATTGTTTGTTTCTTGCAGTGAGAATGAAGAAAAACAAGCAAAACACCCTTGAAACAGAGGTTTGAGGCATCTGGGTATGCATCTGTTTTAAACAAAAATAGTTTAGTGCACATCGTAACATGTAGTACTGCATTATACATGAGGGTTTTGCAGGCTAAAAGAAGGGAAATTGCATTAACAATTTACAGTTGGCTAAGGATCGATTTTTATAGTGCTACAAACTCAGCTGCTTACTTAGATTTGACTGCACATGACATTTGAACATGTGTAGCCTGTTGCTTTAAAGCAGAAGCAACGAAAGCTTTCCTGATATGAGCTGCACAATGATAGCAGACTGACAGCACAGAACTATAGCTGGCCCACAGTTAACTGCTATCTTTTCTCGATATATTGTGCTGTCTGCAGTTGCTAATTGCTTGCATGTCTGCTCTGTGTATCAGGTTTGGATTTTTTAAAAATCGCCTTTAAAAAAATCCTATCTTTTCTTCTGTCACCAGCTGGCATTTTGCCACATGGGGGTGACAAAAGTGTGAAGCAACTTTACCAAAACTACGCGTAGAGTTAGAAGTAGACAAAATAAGTCATAGATATTTACTCATGACTCAAATATATTCCATTGCCCACTAGATTAAGAATGCTTTTATCCATTTTCATTAAACAATGAAAAAATATACTAAGCTCTGTTCCCTGCCCTCCCCATGTATTTTAAGCAATCCAGGTGCTACTCAGTTTTCTGAAGTTTTTCATTTTTATTTAGATTTGCATGAACCCACTTTTGACGTTTCAAAGAGAAGTCAAAATAATTTTTCCCCATGCACAGTTCTGTCTACAGAATTTATGACTATTGCCACCAGAGTTTCAGAGCTACTCTCTCCCACCCTTGTGCCTAACAGAGCTGCTTAAATCAGCACAAAATACATGAACATGACGCATAAAGTTCTGCTGCATCTGATGTCTCCACTAGTGCGTGAATACTAGCGATCACAACAAGTGTACCACAGACCTCGGTGCAGAAGGACTAAAGAGTCAACAATACTAACATGCTACGACCTACTGGAGCAAGCCTGGGCCCGGCTGCAAGGAACCAGTTAGTTCTGATCCCAGTTCCATCCCTGACCTGCTGCGTGATTGACCATACTATGAGCTGTCCCCTCCCAGTCTTCTCTTCCGGATAGACGAGAACATATTTTTAATCTCACATAGATGCCTCACTTGCATAATTATTTACTTAGTGTTTAAAAACAGTGGTAATCGTGCTTGAGCAACTGAAAGCATTACAGGCACTTAAACAACAAAAACTTAATGTTGGGAGTGAAACCCCATCCTGCTCAAGCAAAAAAATAATAAATCTATCTATACATTCCACTGAAGGAACAATGGCCCACATTTAAAAATACAGCACAGTAACAATTTACTAATAATTTCACAGACCATGACTCTGTCTATTCAATGGCAGCATGCCATGTCACACTCTAAGAATTTTGGTTAAGAAGAAACAGCATTTTTTTTTAATTTAATGATGTTAACTTCTATATAGAAAAACACAGCCATTCCTACTGCTATGCTGGGAGAACACGGGCATAAGTCTGGTTTTGAGGTAGTTTCATTTACTTTATTGTGTGTGAAACTTTACGTAGACTTGCATTCATTACATTTGTGCTGCTCTGAATTAATGCCAGGCACAGGGCCATACTTACTGACCTAACAACATTATACTGTATTTAGTCACAACGTGAAAATAGGAGAACAAGCAGCACCAGGCATATACAGGGAGATTATATATAGGTTGACTTGCCATTCAAGGTAAATACTGCAAAACTTTAAAGCTGAATTCAGTTTTCATTAGCGTAGCATGAATTTGTTGGCTATTGTTTAATTTCTAAATAAAACTAGTATGACAGAAACCAGAATAAACCACAGGATCTTTACTTAGAAAGCAAGATAAAGAATATTTTTCATGCAACACGAATGAGGGAGAGGGAATGGCTTATGTTAAATTACCTCCACTGGCACGTGCCATTTTCAGAGCTTCCAGAGAAACAGCAGGGGTTATTTCTAGCTGGCAAACAACCACTTTGGCTTTACAGATGACATCAGAAGCCCTCTTCAGGTCTTCAAAATTTAAAAGCAGGTTGGCTCCTGGGACTATGACAATAACATTCTGTCCTAAAGAGAAGATATTGTGTTTTTTACATTAACATTTGCAATAAAGTATGTAAAACAGTTCCTTGCTTTTCTACAATACATTTCAGATGAGGATTTCAATTTCCTTCCCAAAACATCCCCACTAAAAATGTTTGCATTGCTGGCATTTTCAAATATCCAAGAATTTCAGAAGATAATCAAAAAGACCAACAGACTAACGAATGCTACACTGCACAACAAATGCAGCATGTATTTCTCTGGGAAAAGTCATGTATGGGCTTTCCTCAGTCTTACTTTGGTGTTTTCTCTGAACTCTAAAGAAACGCTGTACTAGTCACAGGGGAGGTGGGGAACATACACTAAGGCTGATATTTGCATTTTCCTAAAATATTCCAGTAGCACTTGAAGAGAAAAGCATCAATGTGATAACTGAGTTCATATCCCAAAAATGCCAGCAAAATTTTAATTTTCCCATCAGCTGGAAACAGAGAATATTTCACACAGCTATGAAAGTTATGCATTTTTTTTTTTTATTTCAGAGAAACAGCCTTGCTCCATTTAGCTGCGACACTTGAAGTTAGGGCCCCTAACAATCCAGAATCAGTTTGCCACCAAAACCCAGAAACCTGTGTCTCAGGAAAGCTTTATCAGAACTGAGTGAAGAAGGTGGGTGACAAGTTCTTCTGCACTTAAAAGATGACCAATAGAATGGTCTAAGCAAAGCTGTACGTGTGGAAGCACAGCAGTATCTCAAAGCAAGTCTAAGACCCTTTTCATTCTTTCAGTTTGTTTTACAGTTAGGTGAGGAGGTTCATTTACGTAGATTCCAAACAGTCTTTTGTTTTCTTCAGACATGCAACTTGCCTTCTTTTATTGCAGTTTCTTTCTTTCATTCTTTCTCTTTTTAATCTCTGTTACAACACCTAGAGACCTTCAGGCATGGGTGCCTTCAAATTAAAATTTATTATTAATCACTCAGGTATTAAATTCAATAAGTCAGTTGTTCCTTGATTTACAGGCTCAGCCCGCCCCCGCTGAAGATTCCTTTAAGGACTGCCAATCATTAAAAGCTACCAATTCTGTAATGAACTGAATTACTCTGTAAATAAATATTTATGTTTTTAAATACATTATTTTTGTTGAATGCGACTTCAAAGTCCGTTGAATAAGAAACGTGCAAAGCTTGTCTCCCTAAATATGTTCTGAAAAAAAGCAGGACAATGGAAAGAATAATATAGTGATCTCAGAGGGAGGGGCCCAAGCTTTCCAAAGCAATTCTGCTGTCAATGGTTTGGTACAGAACAGCTGCATATGAAAAGCAAAACCTCAGCATTTAAAGCCAACGCCCTGCTTTTCAACAGACAATGATGGGCATCTCCGTTTAAAAAAAAAAAAAAAAAGAAAAAGAAAAAACCTTCTGCAACAAGTAAATGCTATCAAAGATATCTGAATCCTATTGAGGAAACATTCAAAAGCAAATTGCACCTATTTTGCCCAGCATATATTTTGAAAGCTTCTAGGGTGTAGCAGTGCAAACAGTAAAAGGCAGGGAATGAGTGGAACATATATATATATATATATTCATTTCTGCCTGGACTCTGTCCCTGTACTACCTCGAATCTCAGACTCTATCCACATGTCTTGCTGCATTATCTTGCTAAACTATTTAGCTGTACTGACATGTATATTAGAGACTTTAGAGCTAATGGCCCAAGGCGATAAGGAAGGCTGTTTGCTTAAACCCATATGTGCAAATTCAAGGTAGACCATGCTGCACCGGATCACAGGCAGAAGATTTTCTTTGTAACTACAAAAAGCCAGAGACTTAAAGTCTGCTTTCAAACCTGCCAGGGAAATGCAGCACCTACTGTGGTGTAACAGTCCGGGCAGGCTTAACCCAAGCTATAGAGAAGAAGCCACCTTCTGTTCTTAGCTACATGTACCACACTAACTGAAGGACAGCAGTAACTGCAAACTTACACCACCATGCATGAAAGCTGACTCTGGACCCAGGCTCTCACAATTAATACCAGAATTTTGTATTACTAGCAACCATTTTGCTGAAAGCAATTATTTCTTGCCAGGGAAATCAGATGGGGAATCAGCACCAGGGACAACAGAGTTAAAGACAGATGGCAAAGAGGGGTGGGATTCATCTTGTCCAACATTGACTAATTTTTAAAGTTTAAAAAAAAATAAATTCTACATTCTAGAAAATTCTAATTTCTAAAAATTAGTTTTCTAGATTCCTTCCACAAGGAGAGACAAGTATTTTCAGAGGTTTTTTAATCTTACATATCTTTGATATCTGTTTGAGGAGGAGACAAACTGTTGTCTGGAAATGCCTGTGACTCTCTGTTAACTCTAGGTGAAGCCTTAAGCTGTACACCTAACTTTGAAACAGTTCAAGTGAGGTAGAATATTACCCACACCAAGAATGAGAAAAAAATACTTACGGTATTACAGCTAATTCTACCATATTTTTACTTGGAGTAAAAATTCTCAGTATTGATGGGAACATCTATATAATTTTAAGTTTTGCAGACATCAGCTAAAATATTAAGGGCCACATTCACAGTTGCTGTAATCTCTAACAGCTAAGTGAAGCTGGTAAACTTGTGCAAGCTTATACCAGATGGGGACTGGGTCCAATCAATACTTCAAACAGCGTGAATGCTGCATATGTAAATACTATCCTCATTTGGGCCTCTAAACCTCTAAACTCATTTCTTAGAAAGATGGGTAACTCAAGCTAGATTATTTTTTGAAGAGTCATTTTATAGATGCCACTAAATGAGAAGTGCCAGTGGAAAAATCAAAGGCAAACCAGTAAACACCAGGGTACAATAACCATCACTTTTTCAAATGGGATGACAAGCCTAAAAGCCATCAGTAGTGCTTAGAACTCACCAAAATCTCAAACTATGCATTTATAACAATAGCTGCAGAGGTTCTGCATAATAATTCATAGGAAAAAAGATGATATTTGTGACCAGAAAAGAACGTTACAAGAAAAACATTTGCTGCCAAATCACACAGTTCATGAATATGAGGGCAAGTTTTGGGTGTGTCATGGTATCGTAATATCTATGCAATTACTTGTTAGAAGCATTGAATAGTCTTGTACACAAAACATTCAAGTTCATTATGAATGTCAATACATAAAAATCCTATAAAAATTCAGGTGACGTTTCTTCATAGCCCTGAAGGTTCAAACCAAAAATTTTCTCTTTGGAAAGTAGAATTCAAACAAGCTGGCATATGTATTCTGAGTTTGCCTTGTTTATTTAGCTTTATCTAAATATATATTTTGAGTGTTTTAATACTAGTAGTGCTTAGGTATTGAAGGTCCACTCACTTACAAAATAATGCCTATTCACTGTTCATGAATGATTAATAACTTTATCGTAAAGTCAGCACAATGCTTATCTCACAGTGTTCTTTGTAGGTGAGCTTTAAGTCCTAACTTGCAATAATCAAGAGCACTTTAATCAAGACCTGCCAACTCTGTTGTCCCTCCACTGAATTTTTCCTGTGAACATGGAAGTTGTCAGACTGGTTCAAAATACTGGTCCAGCCAGGCCAGCTTAATGGTGCCGCCAACAGTCAGTACCAGATATGGACAAAGCTGCAATAAACTTCACAGGTAATCATGTAAAAAATTATCCATAAAGAGGTTTATTCCTCCCTATTTTTGTATGTAAAAGTATAACACACATTATGACTTTATGGAGTTTTTACCGTTTAATAGCAGAGTGTTAAGTGACAGAGGCAGTGGAAGGAAGGCAGGCTGAAAGGGGAAACGAAAGCTGGGATTCAAAATGGTGCAATGCACCTCAAAGAAAACGTGTTAAGAAAACCAGCTGGATGTACTAGCTTTTCTCCTTAAGGGAGAAAGTACAGGTTTGAAGTGTATAGGATCCTGGTAAACTGAAGCCTGTGTTTAGTCAAAACCTATCTGAAGAGATAGTCGTGTAAAAGAGAACAACTGAAAGGAAAACGAGGTTCCAGAAAAAGATTTCTGCACAGATTTCTGAGACTAGCCCAGAGGGAACCTTTGCAGCATCTCTGGGCTGCATGTTTTCCAGTGCAGCACTATAAACTTGTTAAATATTTCTCTACCATTCTGCATTAAACCCGGGATTTAACCTCTCTATTTTTTATTGAAACTATACTGTATTGTTCCAGAATATAATGCAACTCTGAGAATATCAAATGTGCCTGATAGTTTTCAAAATTTTAGTACTTTACCAATTACGATAATGGATGAGTTATAGCTATGCAATTCAGTAACCAGTAAAAAATCTTCCCAGAAATTCAGCAGCACCAGCTAGACAGGCATAGGTAACATCAGGGAAAGTTTACTTCACACCTGCCTCTGACTCTGCTCTCTACAGCTTTCTTTTCCTCTGCCTTCACTCATCCATCATAGTCTGCTCCCTCTACTTGACTATCTCTTCTCTTTCTGCCTGTGATTTCACCCAGTTGATTAGAGTTGGTATCCTTCCCAAGTACTGGTACTTGTAAAGAATTGGTAAGATGAAGTGCAGGTTAGGTGTTTGAAAAGACAGCAATTAAAACTTGGCAATTTAGAGATGATACCTACATTTTTTATTTGTGCCTCATTGTCTTAACACAGACCACCATACCACTAACAACTTCAGATGCTTCCCTTTTAGGCATAATTTGAACTAGCAGAAACTGTTTTACACCAGTGCATTGAATGCTGTGGTGTTTCAGCTATGCCAGCACAACTACTGTGGTAAAACATGCATGTGTAGACAAGCCCTTTGAAAAGTGCTGTAAAACCTGTTTAGGTCAAATCAGCCAGGTTTCTACAGGAGGAAAAAAAAAAAAAAAGTGTCTCCTGCAACAGCAAAGCACATAAGTACTGCTATTTTATTGCAATTTACTCAATTCAGGCGCCAGACGGTTTTAGAGAGAAGTAACAACCAGAACCATCACCAATTCTGTGCATCTATTTGCTTTACAGCATTGTTCTGACCAGGTTTGCTCTTTTACTAGATTTTAAATGAAATCTGAGACCAGCAGTAACTGCATGTAGGATCTTTTAGTTTCTGAAAGAAACAAACTGCACGACATTATGCATTATTCATCTCACTATGTCAATCACAAGACTATCAGAGACATTTCACACTGACACTAACATGTAAGATAGCCACTGTGAACCGCATGGCACTGAACAATCAGTTTTCCTTTCCTGGTGCTCATAAAGGTTTTAGATCCACGAGATGGTTTTGTTCAAAAAACCAGAATGGTGGTATAATTTTAACAGGTCATCTTCTGTTCATTCAAGTTTAGACTACGTTTAGCTTAGTTGACCATGCATATGAACTGGGAAGCAATAAAACATCTTAGTCAACTATTCTGCACAGCAAACCTAGTGCAAAACATGGTTACATTTACAAAACAGTGAGGCCTGCCAGTGTCCTACTGGATTCTCACTGTCTTTCCAATTTACCATGGCCAGAGCAGTGACTGTATGTGGCATAAGAAAGAAGTTCTTAAGACTTGCTCTGGTAATTTACCTGCTGATCCAAACCAAGAGAAGGAGGTTGAAGTAAGAGGCAAGTATCCAGTTTATTCCATGTTTTGGAGCTACCTTATTTCAGAATTAGAGCTGTCATGTAAGGTTTTGATTACTCTTACTTAGGGATAATTAAACTCACACCTCCAACTTATTTGCCTAATTTTTCTGAATGTTCTTGTGTAGACTTGCCTTTTGTCACAGTTCCTTCCTAGGTTTGCTCCTGGAGTGAATAGTCATGTTTCCCATTTTGAGCTGTAGCCCAATGCACTAACATCAGGTTGTTAAGTTGATGTGTCAGCTAAGCTGTGGTAACTGTTCAAATGAAGGCTCTTAGCTGCACCAAAAGTGAACGAATCCAGTCACTTTAAGTTGTTATATTTGCATAAGCATTATCAATCTTGAGCTCTAAATTTTGATCCAGACACACATGTTTCTCCCAAGAGCTCTCAGTAGCACAACTTGCTATCGAGGAAAACATGCTTGACGAAAAGATAAGCAGAAATTTTTCAGAGGTTAATTTAGCAATTTGAAGACGAATATGAAAACAAGCCAAACCTTCCTCCCCTGCAATATGAGAACAAAGGCCTAGGCTAAGGAAAATTAACACAGAAAAAACAAATATGCCATTTCACTGTGTATTCATTACTGCAGATGCAACCTGGGATCAAGAATTGTGGTAATATTCCAAGATCAACATAAATGTTTCTACTTATACTAAGGACAGTTCCTTTTCCTGATTCAGGGCATAATGACTCAGTGTGCTGAGGAGGCAAACCCTTTCCTCATAGTAAAAATGCTAGGTAAGTTGTCATGGAAAAGGAGAGCTTTAACCTTCTGCTGCACTGTGTGTTCTTGCCAGTGTAAAATTAGATAGATCAGCTGGCTGATTGAATTATGGCTCTCACACTGCTAATCCAAGCATCTGACTCTGCTGCTTTTAGGTCCCTCATCCTACAACACTGCTGTAATAAAAGGAAGTGCAATGAAATGTAAGTTCATGAAAAAATGAAAGGTGTAGAAAAAATAATTCCACAATTAACAGTGACAAGGCAAAGGTTTCTTTTATGGCTGTAGAGGCAGAACAAAGAGGACAGTTCAGAGTAGAAATATGTACCTTCACTGTTGACAATTATTGAAGCCGTTCCAGTAGCAGCATCTGTAGTCTGACCTACAAATGCTAAGAAAGGGAAAAGTTACAGCATGCGTTAGTTCAATACATTACTTTCAACCAATAGCATGTGATGCAGTTTAATTGAATTAAATCTAAAATGAACCCATAACCTCCAGCAATTTAAAAATGCTAATTACTCTTTCATGTGCAACAATGCCAGAGAAGCTAACAACAACAAAAAGTGTTAATTTACACCCACAAAACAGAAACGCGAGTCCAACATTCTTTAATTTGGCTACATCTCTGCTTTAGAGAAAGCATGTTATTTATACAGCTTTCTCAAGCACTCTACTCCTACATGGAAGTATTTCTTTTATCCAATGAAACAATAGAGTCAAGGCTGGAAAAAAAGAAAATATTAAAACAACACAGCATTTAATTCTCTGTAGATTTGCATTTCAGCAGTAATATTAACATGTGCTATGAAAGCAGTGGTCGGGCTATATATTTCCTCTTTGGATTATTATTCAGATAAATTAACTAGAAGTGAAGCTGGCAGCACCGTCTATTATAAAGATTTTTTCATATTTACTACTTTTAGAACCTGCTTTCAGCTGTCAGCAATTTTTTCAAATATTAACCAGTGGTCCAAAACGTTCTATGACAGGTGGGATTTTTTTTTTAGGTAGAACTGTAGTAGAAAACTGTCAAAGAAGTTGAGAGATTTTTTTTTCCCAAGGACTGCATTTGAGAAAAATACAAATTTGAAAAATACAGATTTGAGACAAATTCTGGTGACCTTTTGTTTAAGAAGCTCTGGTGTTATAACATTTTAGAACATGGACTTGATGCTGGGCAAAGGTTGGTTTCTTTCTCAAGATGTGCCTTTCGTGGCCAATTTAAAAATCTGCTCAAATTTGAACAGGACTGAAAAAAGCCCATAACATCATGCTTATTCAGTTTTGCTAAAGTATTGCAGATACTTGCCCTGGAGGTACCCTTATCTAGCTCAGAATTACAAGGGTCAGAGCAGAACTTTCCTTGCAATTATAGCTTCTTTTCACCATGAGCTAGGTCTGCACACCGGAATTGAAAGCAGAGAACTTGTGTCTTTTGTGGTCTCAGTGCTCTTCCAGCAGAAAGCAAGTAGCACAAGCAGCAAGCTGCCCAGTTCAAACGTGGGACAGCAAATAACACATCGGTAAAGATCTAAATGGTCTGAGCAGCTGAGAGGTTGAGGAAGACAGAAAGACTGGGAAAAGGGAAAATTATGAAACAGACTGGAACTGGAAAGAAAAGGGGTAAGGTGGTATGTTAGGCAATAGAGGAGAAATGCAAACAAAGAAGACATACATCAAGGATACAGGATATGAAAGTTGGCAGAACTGGCATTATGGCAAGGATTTTCATTCAATACCCAGGATGCTCAGGTAGAACAACAGGGTTGGCTAGGCAAGGAGTAAACTGAGATGAAAAGGCAAGGACTGAAATAAGACGGTCCTAAGCAAAAAATATCTGTGCACAGTGAGTCGCCCTTGCCTCCAAATCTTGGAATGCAAGTTGGGATCTTGGACCAGCCTCACCAGCAGTATATTCTGTCTTCCTCCAGGGTTGATCAACACCATTCTGGGACATTTTTAACTCAATCAGCAGAAATTGGTACCTCCGACCCAAATGTTCCAATCCTTCTGTTGATCTATCTAGCTTTATTTATATGATAAAAGACATGCTTTGGAAAAATTTAGAACTGTACACTAACAGACACTGGCTTTATGGTGCCCTTGCCTGATTTCTTGCATAAGTGGGAAGATATGCAATGAATAAACCTGTACATACATTTGTGAAATATTTAGATGCTATACTGATATGCATAACAAAAAAAAGCCCACAATATACTGATAGTTCTGTCTTTAAAGCAGGATTTGAATAATGCTGTAAATGAAGCTTTTGGCTGCACATTAAGCAGAAAAGATAAACAGAATATTGAATTCCATTTAGTGATTGCATCTGTCCATCCCTGTCCGCCCGGAAGGAGACAAGAGTCATGTAGACAAAAATGTGATCGTGAAGTACACAATAATACATTTACACAAGAGAGAGAATTATGGACACAAAGGCGTAAAGATAATAGAATATTGTGAAGTCTTAATTTTTCCTTTTTCTGAAAGCCTTTTGACATTGATTTTTGTGTATGTGTGTATTAACAAACATCGGCTGCAGCCTCTAAAATGACTGCACGTGTCATTTCACAAAACAGAGGTGAAATGTACTGAGTTGACAAATGCATTTCCACTCTATCCCTCCCCTCTTAACATGAAATTGAGAATGAATAATCAGACTGGATTTTTCAATTTCTCACCAGGCATCATTAACGCCAGCCTAAACAATTGCATAACAGCAAGTTATCTTGAGGTGACTTGCACTGATGTAATCAGCTGAGACTTAGAGGTAATAACATTACATTTTATTTTTAGTGGTACAGCTGATTTCCAAAGTACCCATATTTTCACCCATGTTCATTCATTCCTGCCAGTTGTGTCAAAACAATTATTCATAGTTCTTAATGGTAAAACACATCTAATAAGACAATAAAATAAGAAATTCTCCACTACCAAATTTTAAAGCTTTAAAGTAAAATTTTACCTGTAGAAATACCATTCTTCTTCAAATTCTCAACATAATCATTGCCAAATGAATCCTTCCCAACCTATAAAAAAGATAAAAGGATACGTTTTCTCTGTAGAAAGGTGTGAGGATAAATAGATCATCTTTTACAACAGAGTGGCCTAATGTAATTTGAATTCAACAATTTCTGTTTTGCAGCACTTTGCCTTATTAATAAATAATAAACTTGTAAACTAGAGTTAAAATGTATTAGTAGTATTAATTAACAGTAGGGATATTGTTCTGCAGTTTTCTCCTCCTTTATTACAAAACTCCCCGCTACAGCCATGGCACTATATTCAAGTGTTGTCGTTTTAAAAGGGCTGTGTTACTTTGACACTGAAGCTTTCTGGGGATTGTAAAATCTGGAAATGTACTGAATCTTGTACTCCTGGATCATTATTCAGCTTTGAATTGAAAGCATTTATAGCAACTCTGGTGTCCTTAATTGCAGTTCATATCTTGAAATTTCTACTTCAAGTTTCCTTGGTGGAAAAATATCAGACTGTGGTTATGGTCTAGAAAGTGATGATAAACATGGCATTGCTGATTTCTATAATTCTCAGTACTAAATGTACTGTTTACAAATTCAACATTTTTTGTTTGTTTTAGTCAGCAACAGCAGACCCAGTTGAGTCAGGGAGTCAAGCTATGCTCTATTGTTTTTCTAACAAGTTAAAGAGTTTGTAATTTCAGCTCCACTAATCCTTTTAGCTGAACAGAATTCTGCTTGCTGTTTATTCAGATTAATAAACATTTTCTTTTGTTACATCACACAAGCTGAACAAAGGAGATGAGCTATATGGAGAAAGCTTAATGTCAAAATAGCATTTTAAATATATGTATAAAACCAACATAGCTTTTAATTCACCAGTTTTAGCCTATGTCTTCAGCATGCACAGTGTGTGCTCCTTCTTCCAAGAGCAAGTTATGTGTCTGAGAGGTATCAAAGACTGACCAACACTACAGCAAGTATTTTTGCAAGAGAAAAAATAGCCATCTTTCAGATTAGAAGCCAAATCAAGATCCTGGTCACAGTCTAGACAACGAAGGAATTACATGAGCAGATCTAACTAATGATCCATCTTCTCATAAAACAACACTAAATAGCTAACACTATTCGAGTTACTGGAAGCACAACGCATTTGCCTCTATTGCCTTCTGTTAGAAATTTGTCTATTTATAAACTCGGTCCTTTAGAAGGCTCAGAGAAGGCCCAATATGAACAAGTGATCACAACAATCAAACCCTGAGATTCAGAATTCTAAAATGTAAAGTGTCATCAATGGATAATCCTTCCCCCGACATATTCTATTGCACAGCCATGTTTTGAAACATACTTTCATTTCCTACAACCTCTAGAAGGGATTTACTGAAGCACTATTAGGGATAGTCCCAGTATTTTACCAAAGGAGGCAGGCAATTTAGGTCAAAACAGTCTAACCAGACAGAACATTCCTCTATTACATGGAAAAAAAAAAAAACCAACACTATTTGGTCACTGTGTTATTCATTGTTTGCATATTAGAATACTTCTGCATCTCTGACTACTCCCAGTTTGCCAGACAGGGCGGGTTGTCAGAAGCTGCCTCTTCTGACTGCTTGAGGCTGGGTGACTGCAGCCATCTGCAATTTGAACCCGAGCCGCGCGCACCTCTGCAGCCTGAGAGCTGTACTACTGGAATGCGCTCTGCCCCATGGTATCACCTTCTCCCTCCCTCGCTGCTACAAAGCTGCTGCCACAAATCTCAGGATTTGCTCGGTTATTTCAGCAACAAAATATTTCATAACCATTTTCCAAAAGCTCAACTGAAACTCCCTTCCTTCAGCTCTGGGTCCTACATAACTGACAGACAGGCATCCCTTATTGTTCAACTGTCACAACAACTGAGATCAGCTGTGGTACTTTTGCTCAAAGCAAGACATCTCAGCGCTGAAGGGAAGCCCTTCGAGGGGTCTCCAAGGAGGCTCTTCTCCTCTGGAAACCTTTTTCCATGTTAGTTCATCAGCATCCAACCCAGTTAATCCTAGTGCGTTTGAAGAGATTATCTTTCCATTCAGGCTTTACCCCCAAGGAAGACAGAGTATTGGGCATCAGACTTGTTTTAGATTAAAGGCATATTTACTGACCATGTCAAATTACATAACATTGTTTTAAATATTTTTTGCTTTTGCTCAGACTCTGCCAGATGGACTGTTGGGTACACAGAAAAATAAACGCCTTAGTCTGCTGGCCACAGAAAATTGTATGTCTGAAATAGCATTTCTTCTTTCCTGAGTTTTGAACAATAGCTATTTGTACAAGCATTATGGTCACATAGTTTGCATACTAGAATGGGTGGAATTTCATCAGTATTTTTCAGTCTGGGGTTTCCCTGCTTACTACTGTGCTTTCCACATGGAGCTAAGGGAGCTGGCTGGCATTATAGCAGCTAAAATTTTAGCAGCTTAGAGAATCAAACTCGTCTATACCCGAAAATTAATTACAACAAAAACACATACCTCTTGACAATTGTTTCTTGAATCTATTCTATATGCTTTTTTTTTTTTTTTTGAGTGTTTACACTTTTTATTCCTTAGGGAATTAAACAGGTGCAAAAGTATAAGACAGTAATATAAAAAGAAAAAATAATTGAAGATATGCATCGTATTTTGGGGTGCATCTGAGATAGAGGTATGTTCTTACAATGAAGTGAGGATTCAGGCTTACAGCACTTTAACTTAAATTTGGCTTACAGATCATCTAAAGAGAGAAGACCACATAGCATGGCAATACAACACTTCCTATTTTTTAGTAGGAATCCAATGCAGCTGGGGCTTAAGTAGAATTTAGTATACGCAATATCAGGCTAGTGACATCAATGTCCAGTGAGGATCATTCCAAATTGTTTGTCAGAGGTAAACCAGGACTTTTTTCAGCACATACAATGTCTTTCATACCAACATCTCTCCACCGTCTTAATCTAGGATGTTTAATGGATTTTATTTTTTGGTAACAGTCACTATAAAAGAAACAAACAAACAAAAAACCAAAGAAAAAAAAGAATAGTTTAGGGAGTTTGGAATTTTTAATTTCATTTTGCATTTTTCAGTACTGCAAAAGGTTTTTTTTTTAAACACAAGCAATTAATTTGCTTAGTTCCTTTAGTTCCCTGACAATACATTTCTCTGAACAATTGTCTTTCTTGTCTTTTTGAAGTGGCAACTATTCCATCAATACATTGTTTTACTGTACTGAGCAAGTTTTGAAGAGGAGAGTTTAAGACTGATACTGTGATACATATTGATAACCCAGAGTAACAGTGGCCACTTGAAAAGATACCCAGGCAGAAAGTAGAACACTGATTGCAATTCCACTACTCAAACTCAGTACTTGGATTTTACATTAAAGTCCCCAGCATTCTGTGGCACATCTAATTGTAACTGTAAGTCATTCTAAAACTCCCTCTCTCAAACCCTCACCAGATAGTCACTGGCTCTCTTACATTTTAGAGGTATGAAGAAAGCCTTGTCACCTGATCTGTCTATATCTACTCTCGTTGAGGACATCTCTGTCTAAATTACAGTCCTCATAAGAGGATGCCACGCTCCGGCAGAATGCTCCTCTAGTATTAATGCTGACTGCAATCCCTAAACTACAGATTGTAGAAGCGATTGTTGCACCTGTACTGGATAAAAAATGTTGGGAATTACAACCAAAGCATAAGCATAATACTGAGCACAGAGCGTGTGTGTGCAGGACTATCTGGCTTGAAGAACTACCAAATACCCACCATAACATGTTAAACTGAAAATAATTGAATTGTAGTGGCTCATTATTGCCTGACTCTTCTTATTTTATTCAGCAGAAACTTTATACTACATCCCATTGACCTATGCAGATATAAGACTGTACTGCTATGAGACTTTCTTTTTGAGGCTATAAAGTGCATTTTTAATTAAAAAAGTAAATACTAACTTTTAAAATTAAAAACTACCAACATTTTTAGATATTAAGAATCATTCTCTGCTGTTTCTTTTCTCCAATAAATACCTATCAGAAAGAAAGAAATAACTGAAATAACATAAATGAGATTTTGGAAAGTAATTGGAAATTACAGTAGCTGCTAAATTTTATTAGGAATGCAAATGCTTCCAGAAACATGTATGCACTGAGCAAAGGCTAGAGCATTAAAAAAGAAAACAAAATTCACACTTTCAGTGGAAAAAAACCCTTTAACATTTAGCAGGAAATGTTAGCAGGGAATTCATTGCCAGTTCATCTTGTACTTGAATCTGATCGTTCTTGAATGCAAAGATGATCAAATATACACAATATTGCAGAAGCGCAAACATTGCCAATATAAAAAAAGCTCACACTGTAGAACCAATAGTGATAATGACCCACAGAAATGTTTGCAGGTGTTACTTCAGATTTATAGCTACCATTCTTTAACCTAAGTACTGGATTGGAAAACCAGTGAGAAAGGCTTCCTTGAGTTGTTTCCAGTACTTCTCAAAAAATCCCTGTCAGACAATGATCCAACAGCAAATTTAGCATCCACCCCAGCTATGGCAATAACAAAGTACGTCCAGTCAATTTGAAGTTTCATCTACAGGATAGACAATGAGGCTACAGAGAGAAAAAATTTGATCTTCACTTTAGTAATGATCACTCCAAACTTATAATGTTGAATGACAAAAATCAAAGAAAAGCATTGTAAGAATAGAGCATCTGCCAAGCTGAATCAGCCCCATGTTCTATGATTCAGGTTTAGAACTGTTGTACATCAGATGTTTCAGAAAAGTGGGCAAAAAAATCCCATAGCACACAAAGGTGCTAGAATTTGGACGCGAACGCCTCATTCTAATCTCAAGTAATGCGATAATGATTTAACCCTTGCAGCACAAAGTTTTACATTCCTTCTCAAATTTGTTACGTCTGATTTTAACCACCTAAAAAGTGAATTTCAGAGTGATTATACTGCCTAGCACCTGAATGTCATCAAGGAAGCCCTGATCATTGTAACAGTGGGGAACACAAAGAGGACGGTCTAATCAAGATGACTTGAATTTTCAACATCTCAAATTCTCTCCAATTCTCTTTTCTATGGTACATTAATCAAAGTTTTGCAATCCTTCTTTATATGCAATTTCTGCCAGATCTCTAGCCAACTAGTCTTTGGTTCTGGCAGTGTTCTTAGAACAGTGTCCTCCATACCTAAATTAATAGCCGAACTAAGGAAAAGAAAAGGGAATTAGAGAGGGATTTTAAAAAAAAAAAAAAAAAAAAACAAACAAAAAGAAAACCCAAAAACTTTTCTGTAAGTCACTTAAAGGTTTACTGGAATTTGCATGAACATATAATTCAGCTGTAATCCAAGAGCAAGTCAGTGCTTACCTTGCAGATCAGTGAGGTCTTGGCCCCAAGTCGAGCAGACTGGACACACTGGTTGGCTCCTTTCCCACCAAAACCAATGAAAAACTTATGTCCAAGGATAGTTTCTCCAGCTCTTGGCAATCGTGTAGTAAGGCTATTCCAATTTAAAGCAATATTTACATACATTAGTGACTGAAAATAGCAAGCATCTTCAAAATAAGAGTTACATTCTTATAATCCTAAATGGTCCAACAGCCAGACAGTAAGACCAAAAAAACCTTGAAAAACCTTTCAGGGTCTCTACGCCACATCCCATCAGTTTAAGTTTATTCCTTATATGCCACCCAGTCAAACTTCTCACTTATTACTCAAGAGAGAGACTGCACTTCTTTTGTTCGTGTTTCATGTTTCTACAGGAAAAGAAGCCCTTGACCCCTGACTGGGATTCCCCTGTGCCAACACAATACAGATAAATAATAAATCTATAGGTCTCAGTGCTCATGTTGTTTTCCTGTAATATTCAGCTCAAGTTTACATATTGTTCATCTAATTTCATTACATCTAATTATACCTTCTTGAACCACTGTAAGTAATTTTTCACTTTGTTAGTGTTCACACCCCTCAAAATTATAGATGGTTATCAAAACCTTTCTCCCCTCTGCTGTCACTCAGGCACACTATACATATTCAACTTTTTTCTTTGTTAAGTTTTTCTCTTACAAATCAAGCTTTACAACTTCTCAGCATTTTGCTGGTTCTTGAATGCACTCCAACTACATTTACATCCTCTGGGGATGGGTGCCCAGAACCAGATGCACTAATACAAGCAGAGACCCATCAGGAGCGTATTCTGGTTTAATTTCCATTTTGGAAAAAACAAAACAAAACTGTAATTTTGTTAACCCTACCAGATGCTTGCTATCTCCAGCAAAAGTTGAAAGGAAGGAAAGATACCACTGAGAGTATGTGGAAGAATTTCCCTGAATGCAAAAAGCTAGCTTACTTTTGCCATTTCTGTTAAAATACATAACTCAAAGCTGTGTTTACAACACTCAGATTACCAAAACTTCTGCCTCCTCAAGCCATACATTCCATGCACAAGGTTTAAAAATGGAATTCCTTCTATCTTTTAAGCTACAAACAAGTTCATAACACATATGGAAGGAAGGTCTCCTACAATGTACTAGCAACCCATTCAGTCAATGACAGTTAGCTCAAACAGATTTCCGAAAGTCTGCAGGAAAGAAAGGGAGAGTGGGGAAGGGAAGACTGAAAAAAATGCAGAGGAATCTGCCATAATGAGGAAGAGATTAACTTCAGCTCTGTTTGACAATTTATAACATTATTTTACCAATACATCTTACAACAGCTTCAAAATTGCCATCCCTCCAATTCAGAAAAAAGGTGACATACTTCTGCACTAGCAAATCACTACAGAGTGCTTTTTGAAAAGGATATGAATAACACGTGTATATTAGTTTCTGAATTTATGCTGCAACTTCTAGGGCATATTGGTGTTTGCAAAATTTTATGGTTTAATGACAGAGCACAGCCTGATTCACTGAAAATTCTCAGCAAAAAACAAGTGGGTTTTTTTTCCACTAATTTTCAATTCCAGCATCCTTCTGTCAAAAGGTTTACATTCATTAGGAAATCAAGAAAACCTAAAATTAAACAACCGAAGCCAAACCAGTCCTGAGGTCCCAGAAATTAAGATTTTTGCTTTGAATGAGTTGTTATGTCTGCGCTTCATCAGTAGTTACAGTTTCTGGAGAGATGCAGGTAAGGATGCAGACTTGAAGTAGGGACGCTTGCTAATAGAGCACCTCAGATTTTAGTGTGAGGCTGTGGTACCCAGCCAGCAGGTTTATTTTGTGTGGGTGACAACAGAAAAATCCCAGAAGGCTCACACATACAGCTAATGGCACTCATTTTGTTTCCAGAGAGGCAGAGCCAGGAACGCTATGTTGGAAATTGTTTAAATTCTTTTAAATAAAAATATAACAGCTTTTTAGAAGTATACTTATAGGTACCTTATACATATATATGGAAAGGGCTGCTAAATTAAAACTGTTTGCCCACAGCAGCATCTGGCAGGTTTACAACAATGAGTAACTGAAAAGTTTCAGGGAACAAGTTGTAATGAGTGTAGATAAATAACATTTATTAATGGTGGCATCTATAATTTATCTCTATTTTCACCATTGGAAGCCAAAGTAGTGATGGTTGTGGACCAGAGAATGATGGCCACAAAACTCAGCTGAGGAAGCTCCTATTCAGCTAGTGCCAGAGTACTGCATGCACACTTCTAAAACTATGTGCCATTCAGTGAAGAATAGTTGTTTCACCCAGCCTTGGTAAGAAATAGTCATAGCAGGTCTTGTATAATTCCTTTCACCCACAGATCTCACTACACTTTAAAAAGCAGAACAATATCGTTATTCCTGTTTTGTGGGTGTGAAACTTAGCAAGTCATTTTGCCTTTTTGTGCCTTGGGTCAGCCAAGAAGCCAGTGGCAAAACCAAAAATGGAGATCAGCTCAATCCACTGGCTTACACCGTCTTCTCATTTAAATTCTGCAGTATGAAAATGGTATCAAGTCTCAATTAATTTTCCTTCCTTAGGGTGTTTTTTTTTCAGAGCTTACAGCTTATTCTAAATAGAATTTGTTTCCACAAAAAGCTAATATACTTTTAGACAAAGATTAACAATTGCAACATCCCAGCAAGCATCTGCTAATAGCGCTGTGCTCTGAGTTCACATGCATTTTCAAGAAGTATGTTCAACCATTCATATTCTTGCTTTAACAGTGACCAGACCATGACTTGATTCTTCTCTCAGTTATGTTGGCATCAACATGCAACTCCAATGGAAGCATCATAATTGCACTGGTGAAAAAACAGGCTTGGTGAGATGAAAATCTGGGCATCAATATTTCAAGCAGCACGGCATTACAACTGCCTGTGGGAATCAAACAGCCTGTTGAAGACAGGGAGATGACCTTTTTTATTGTTTTGATGGAAAGGTACAAGGCAAAGGCCAAAGGATCAAGTCGGAACAGTGATTCATAATTAGCCAATTATAAAAGCAGGCTAACAGACTAGGCAAGAACATGTAGCAAATTCCTGTAGCTCACTGTAAACAAAACCCCCACCCTATTACGTTTCAGAAATGATCGCCACTCCTTTCAGACCAATTCTCCACTCCAGAAGCCTATTCTTATTTTCCATATTAAACAAATTCTGAGTACTGAGCTATATATAAGCCTGGAGGTTTCACTTGCACAGAAACAGGCATTCAATAATTATTTTTTTTTTCTAATACAATGCTATTCTCTTGTCATTTAATTCTGCAACTATACTAACTTTTGATTCACATCAGACAATGTTAATGAGCATTTTGAGCTTCTGTTATGAGCAAGCAATGATGAGTAATCTGTATGATTAAGGAACCCTATAAATTCTTGGCTTATTGATGGTGCCACAAAGAGTACTCAAAATAGGCTAAAAGTCATGAAACAGCTAATGTTACTCCAAAACTAGGCTAAATAAGTTAATTAGAAAAACCATCACATGGGCTTTCAGAATTGTTACATAAAATGTTCTGTAAAGCCATTTACACCTTTGACATAATTTGAAAACACTGACCTGAAAAACCTAATTTAAGTTGCTAGCCAACAGACTGCTCTTTGCTTATGTGATCAATTCTCCTCAGCTTTGAGAGGATAAATGGTACAAAGGATACTGAGCTCTCATGTCTCATGAACAGCCAGGAACTAAACTTTAAAACCCCCAACACTTACTAGATGGGTATATAACATGTTCTGCAAATTGTGTACTGTACTAGTGAATCATATTTATAGAGGAAAGTTCAGACTGAAGCATCCTGAAATACTTTGACATTACAAATAAAGGAATATAATCACTCCAAATTTCAACTGAGTTTTTTCAAAACAATATTTAAATGTAAATGTTTGTTTAAATGTAAAGTGCATGGCAATGCTGCCCACATTTGTTCATGGGAAATAAAGAATCTTATACCCACTTATGTTTCAGAGGTTTGGGATGAATAAAAGTACACACATAAGAATTTCACCATTGCAGTAACTTCAACCCTCTCTTCCAGTAGATGCATACCACAGGTTCCCTTAAAGGCCAGAGCTGATTACCATTTGTATTTTTAGACAGACATCCCTTCGGAAAGATGGCATTAGAAACAGAACAGAACCCTTTACTACCCTGTTGAAGCACTGAATCAGAGGTGAAAGTGTAACTTATTGAGTCATTAATGCCCCTTTCCCTGGTGTTCTGGGGTTTCTTGAAAAGTTCCCACCTAAGCAGTGACTAGATCATATTCAGAGATAGAAAGTCTGAAGAAGGAAGGAGGGAAAAGGAAGAGATGTGTATTGGTAGCATTTGCATAAATCAATCCTGAAATTAATCATGGTTTGCTTCTGATTCTTGATCTAACCATTGTCTGTTCGTTGTTTTCAACACATGTAAGTACTATAAGGATGTATTACTGTTAGCTTAAGCTGATGTAAAACCATGCCCTCCCCTCAGCAGCATTTTCCCACTCTGTTGAGAAAACCATAAAGTAGCAGTATGTTTCTAAGAAACGAAATGTGCATGAGAAAGGAAAATAGAAAAGTACATAAATATTTTTGCATAAGAAAAAAAAAAAGGAAAACAATATTGTCATCAGGCAACTCAGAGGGGAAAAGAATTTGTACATTAGATTAGATATCACATTATCTAAGATGACTGTCATGTACATAGTACCAAAAGAAATATTCAGACTTTTTTTTTAATCCTGAAGAAAGGTGAAGATAATCAGGGGTACCAAAATAGCAGCAGAAATACTGCATTTAACAGTGTCTTAATAAAGAGGAATATAATGTAAATGTCTAGAATTGAGCTTTGATTCTGCTCTTTGAATCACTGAACAAAATCGGCTCTTTCTCCCCTTCTGGGAATTCCCTAAAATAGGGAAAATCCCTGTGAGATTAGAGTAGGTGTAACTAGCCACTGTCTAGTACGCACAATTTACTGGGCTTTCATGATTCTCAGAACTGAACAAATACAAAGGAGAGAACAGTTGTTGCCTCTAACTAGGAATATTAGTACAACATTGTGGTGAAAAAGTCTCAGACTT